AAGTTCCTCACAGCGTCATCACTCTCGTTGAGCGGGACGTTGTGACGCTGCTGGCGACCAACGCGCCGGAATACTGGGACGTAGGTACTGGCAACCCCCGAGAGCAAACGTTCTGTCAGCATTTTGTCATGGACGACAAACCACTGCTCGTACGTCACGCTGAGGCGGATATGAGGTTTTACCACATCGCGCCCGTGACGATGCGGAGTCTGCGATTTTACGCTGGTTTCCCTGTATCGGTCCCGAGTGTCTTGAAAACTACAGGGCAATCGGAGAAGGTGGTTGTAGGCGCATTGTGCTGCCTTGATGATAAGCCCCACGAGATGACGAGATCGCAGTATTGGCGACTGATGAAACTCGCAGATGCAGCGTCAAGTATCCTGGAGAAGACTGCCAACGAGTACATCGCCGATCCCGAGAATCATCCACTGGGGCAACAGCGGGCTGCTGTTCAAACTATCACCAAGGCTAATGGACCAACAATGGTGACCTGCTAAGTGACACGCGCCAAGATAAGTGTTTGTCAAGAAAAAAAATGCGCCATCTGACTGGCTTGGAGGTTAAATACCTTCAGCCTTCTGCAACGAAGACCCGTTGCACTTATCAACGCTGGACTTGACAGCAACCTCGGCATGATCATCCCCACCAAGCCAACAAAAGATCAAACAAGCACCTAAAAAAAATACAACTTTTGTAGGTCCCTTGACCCAATAAGCTAATCGTTCTTTTGAGTTTTTATTTTCAAAATTTGGTTGCAGCCTTCCCTCATCAAGGCTCGAAGGTTAGATATATTACTAGTAGTACTTGAAATCGTCACTGTTACCGGTCTAGCCATGGTGCGGTGTTGCTGTGGCCACTCGTTTCCGAATGCGAACCTTCATCTCGTGGCAAACACTGGTAGACCTTCTGGATTTTTTTTTGTCTAAATCTCCTTTGATGTCAGTTCATTTAACCACTTTTAAGTCCATATGACCGAACAATATGTCTCGCATCCGAAGCTCGGATTCCGAACAGTGTTCGCTGCCTAACTGTTTCTTGGTGCCAAAGGCTCAGTCACTGTGGTACATGCACGAAGACTGACTCACCACAATCTTAGTCCTCTGACCACCAGCGTTTCTGCTTAAACCAGTCACCTGCCTGAGTCAGGCCCTGGTGGAAAGTGCCTGGTGCACTAACGTGGTAGAGATTGCAGCCATCGCTTGATAGCTTCGAGTACGCCAGCGCTTCTGCCCTGCTCTGCCGTGTTGTTGCCTCCACGTTGTTAAACATCGCCGAGCGTTCTCTTGGAGCAAGCGCTAGATCTACTATGTAACTGGCACAGCCAGCTCCAGTGTGGAACGTGGGAGCCCGATATCCAGCGCTTAGGAAAATCATGTTGGTGCGCGCTTCTCGGCTTCGGGTGCCCGAAATTGCAAGTGTAGGTTCAGCAAGCGCATGCAGAGTGGTGCTTGGTGTAGCCATAATGGTCCACGTTGAAGCCACAGAAAACAAGCAGAATTCGGTGTAGAAAAGCAATGCGAGGCTTTCCATTTTGGCTCGGCACATCTGCATTTTACGAGGCCTCGACAGCTTTGTCTCCTTTGGCTTTGTCCTTCGTAGCCTACGAATCGTAGCTGTTGTTCCTGTTTTCCGCTGCTCAATGCTGGATTTACGGGACAACTAGTGTCGGAAAAAATAGAGCGAAAAAAATAACCTGCTTATTCAACTGAAATTCGAGTGATTGTAGTCTTTCAACTCGTGGCAACTCGAGAACAGCGTTTCAAGTGCCGTTTTGCCAAACATTACTTCCGATGGATTGCTCGACTTGCTCAGCTGGTGTTTGTTTCGATGGTGAGCTTTGCCTTGGAACGCTGCATTGAAAAATGCATCCAAGAGAGCTGAAACAGCCGCGACTGAAAAAGCCCACGCCAGCGAAAGTCTTGTGTGGTCGATACTCTCGGCCACACAGTTCGGTGAGCTCTGGCCAGAGCTCGAAGAATAAGCTCGAGCGATGTGTCAGAGAATGGCGATTGATTGGGAGGCATAGAGTCGACTTGTATCCGACGCTAAGCTTATCGGTAAGCTTCATTCTCGAATCGGTCGGCAAGATCGCAAGGCATACTACACACAAGAGCACCTTTCATCATGCCGTTAAAGTGGTTCCGCAGTCACCGCCGCCGCAGTACTGGCAATACAGAAGATGAGGCCACCAGACCGTCAACGGAGACTCCCAACTCCAAGCAGAAGACCAAGCAGCGATCCCGTCGATCCCACTCACATGGTCACGGCCTGCGCTCCATGATAGGTTTGTCTGGGTCTATGCAGCACGAGCTCGACGCTGCTGCCGCTATCGCCGCGGAGGAGCAGCGTCGCATCTCGTACCAGACCAAAACTCGTCGTCGATTCACGATCCACGGTCTCTCCTACCAGCCCAAGCACAACGAAGAAGCAGGATGGAGTTGCAACTCGACGCCGGCGGGATCCCCACAGCCCATGCACGCTTCGACGTCACCAAGACACGTTCACTCAAGAGTCTCACACTTCGGGTTCACCTCGACGCGAATCTCACACACTCGTAGTCCTCAAAAAGAGCAAATGATTCCACTCACGCCGGACTCGCACCCGTCGATCATCTTCATCGACTGCCCGCCGTAAGAAGCTGCGCAACGCTAACTGTAAAACCTTCTGGACGTCTTAAGTGTATCGATGGGAGTGTAGTATTGTAATATCTGGTGGGTGAAGTGTAGTGTTAAAGTGTATTGTATTAGTGCAGCTCCAGAAGGGAAGGGCTCGTAAGGATAAACTAATATTACACAGAGAAAAGAATTCATTTTTCATATAACTGTTATCAACACAATTTGGATCTTACCAAAAGCGACTTAACAACAAGATTTTGCTCCATTTCTTAGCCTGAAGCTGCAACCAGACCTTCATAATACACCGGCTCCGCTATATCATCCTCTCAAAGCTTTGAGGCGCTTCCAGAGGTTGATCCAGCACTGAACCGCTTGTTGAGCCAGTTGCTGGCGTAATCCATCACTTGCTGCTTCTCCGGTTCGTTCCAAAGACAGTGGAAAAGTCCCTGGAAGAGCTTGAGCTCTTTGTCCTTATTCGCAGCTCGATTCATGAAATCCTCCACGACCTTCACACTCGTGACCTTGTCCTCTGTTCCTTGCAGCACCAACAGCGGCACTTTGCAAAAGGTGCTATTGGGATCTTCAATTTGAGAGCTGCCCTGCAACTGCTTCATGCCCAGACCGATCTGCACCGCCATGAGGGTGGTCAGATTGTCCGTGACATTGAGAGGATCCGCCATATAGTCCTTCAGGAACTCCGGGTCACGTGTCAAGCCTGCAAAGTTGACTCCTGCCACCAATCTCGCAGTGGGGAACATCCACACCAGCGGTTTGGATACAAACTCCATGATACGGAGAGTGAGCGTGTACTCAACGGCGATGGCTGGAGAGGCCACGACGCAGCCGCTGAAGTGGTGTTTCCCGGATAGAATAGTGTTGAGAGCCACCAGAGCTCCGAACGAGATGCCCATTATGACTAACGGGGGGTCAGAAGTCCCCTCCGGCAGCATCTTGCTGTATACAGCGAGCTTGGCTGCCGTGATGAATTGGTTGGTATCGTCCACGAAGTAATGGAACTCCGACCCGTGTGCACGCAGTCCGGGTTTTTCAGATTCGCTCTGACCGTGACCCAGCATGTCGTACGCAATCACTCCGTAGCCATTGAGGCACAGGTGCTTGTACACGTGCGTGAAGCGCAGCGAGTGCTCCCCGATGCCATGCAGGAAGAGCGCCACACCACGGAGAGGCACCGATTCCGGCGGGAAGGCGGCACAGTAGAAGAGCTTCTGGCCTCGCTCGTTGAGGAAGTGGCCGTCTGTGTAGCGCTGGTCTTGTAGACACGAAGCTTGGGCGGGCAGCGAAGAAGTCATGCTGGACGGAGGCGATGCTGTCGGGGAGTGTGACGGTTCGGAAGTGAGCAGGTTCGATTACTAGACGTGATTTACTGAACCTGTGAGGTTTGTTAACGTTATATTTCAGGATTGTGGACATGGTGGATAAAAGAGGACAAGACTTTAACTCTAATCTGACATTGAATAGCCTGATATAATGAATTTGTTAAAGCTTTTCAAGTGGGTACGCTGTACCACTCAACTTCAATGTACGAGATGCTCAGCGCGTCGATCATGCAAACGTTCCGACGTCACGCAGCACCTTCGTATGAAGCTCCAGCCTTGGGTAATGGTCTACAGCTCATTGGTTTACACTCGATTTGCAACCTTAGTACAGCTCCCTAGCGCTACACTGTGTAGTATAGTACCCGGTCTATCGATTGGACTTGTGTACATTTTTGGCCATCAAAAACTCTCGAGCTGGCGTATGAAACTTCGCTTTCAACAACTGCTCATACAAGTATTACATGTATCGAATGGAGTCTTGATGCCCTGCAATCTAACATGGATATCCATACAAGTTGTATTACAACAGCTCGTGTTGTTTTCCACCTCGTCATCCGCAGTCCCCACCAGTCAATTTCCAGCAGATCCGCGTCTGATTGGTCAAAACAATTTCAACCAATGATCTGCATCTAAACTTATTTGTTGGAGGCGGACAGCCAAGCATTATCATCTTCCCAGCAGGAAGAGAGCAGCGCCCGCATCCGCTTCTCTCCATCTCCAGGCCCCGTTCGAGCACCTGCGCAAGTCGTGCGTGTGTGTATCCATCTACTTCGTCGCCCTCAAGCATCTGAATTTCCATAGAGACCCCGTCCACAGCTTACCATCATGACAGAAGCGCAGCCCGAAAACCGCGCCACATTGGACGCCAAGACGAAACTAAGCGCTGCTGGCAGCTCCTCCAAGCTGCGTCCTACTGCCAAGGAGTTCGTGTTTAACACAGCAGCCCCCGTCTGGACGCCGTCGTCTGTGGCTTCGCCACCTCCCGCCCCTGCTGCCCCTGCTGCTCCTCCCGCCCCTGCTGCTCCTGCCGCTCCTGCGCCCAAGAAGAGCCAGCTGAAGCTCTCGGCCAAGCCCTTCGTGCCGTCCTGTATGATAAACTGTTGCGATCTACACATAAGAGCAGTAGATACTGACTTTATTGCATTGTTACCACTGTAGTTATGGCGCCAGCGTTCGTGCCTGCATCGATGAAGGCACCTGCTGCTCCTGTAGTGGAGAAGGTGGAGACAGTGAAGGAGACGGAGGTGACGACGACTACGTCAGAGTCTGCGTCGACGCCTGTGTCGTCCGCTGCTTCTTCTAGTGCGTCAGAGCCAGAGGTGGAGAAAGACGAGAAGGTTGAGGCACAGACGGAGGCTTCTGAACGTGAAGAGAAGCAGAAGCAGGACGTGGATGTCAAGACAGAGGAAGCTGCTGAGCCTGAGGCCGAGAAGCCGGAGGTTGTGGCCGAGCAGGCTGTGATCGGAGAGCGTATTATCTACACTATCAAGCAGCTGCTGGAGATGGAGCCGGACGTGGAGCTGTGCGTCGTCCCGGAGGGTGTCAAGGGCATGGTGATCGCTGCAGACAAGACGACCAAGGCGCTGTCTGCGCCAGCCCCCGAGGCCTCTGGCAAGGGCATGCGTCGCAACGACTCGTCTCGGTCTCTGGGTCGTCACGGCAGCAGCGGCAACTTCAGTGAAGGTCGTGGACGTCGTGAACGTGGCAGTGGACGTGGAGGACGCGGTGGACGCGGCGGACGTGGCCATCACGACACTGCGCCTGCTCTGGAAGACTGCGCTCCTCTGGATATCAACGAGGAGACTCGATGGAAGCCCTCGCACGCCAAGTCGCGTCTGGACGACCCGGTGGAGAACTCGGAGGCGTCTCTGAAGGAAGCCAAGTCGATTCTGAACAAACTGTCGATCGAGAAGTTCGACAAGCTGTCAGATCAGCTGATTGAGGTGGCTGTGCGTGGCCTGGAAGTGCTCAAGGGAGTGATTGAGATGGTGATCGCCAAGGCGCAGATGGAGTGGCACTTCTCCACCATGTACGCGGAACTGTGCGCCAAGATTGCACAGACGGCCATGCCTGCGATCACTCTGGAGGAGGGAGAGGTGGTGACGGACACGCACAAACTGTTCCGTAAACTACTGCTGCAACGCTGTCAGAAGGAGTTCGAGGCCAAGCCGGAGATCGAGGGACTGGACTCTTTGCCCGAGGACGAGCGACTGGAGAAGGAGCTGATCATGAAGCGCGCGTCTCTGGGCCACATCCGCTTCGTCGGAGAGCTGTTCAAGCAGCGGATGCTGAGCTCGCGCATCATGCACGAGTGTGTCGGCATTTTGTTCGGAGACATCGCAGCTCCTGATGAGGAATCGCTCGAGTGTCTGTGCAACTTGTTGAGTACAATTGGGCAGGCGTTGGAGGCGAATGCTAGAGAGAAGGCGGAGCTGAACCACATTAACGGATACTACGCGACCATCAAGAAGCTGAGTGGAGAGTCCAAGCTGCTGTGCACACGTGTGCGCTTCATGCTGCAGGATCTGCTGGAGCTGCGTACGAACCGATGGGTGGCGCGTCGTAAGGAGACGAAGGCTATGACTATCGCCGAGGTGCACGCTGAGGTCGCTCGTGAGGCCAAGGAGAAGGAACGGTCCAGTACCAAGTCGGGAGGCCACGCTCGTCTGCAGCGCAGCCAGTCGATGAACTCCACAGGCTCCGTGGGCTCGAACGACCGACGACGTGGCACTGGTGGAGGTGCGTCGGCGGCCTGGAAGGCTCGTGCTGCGGCCTCTTCTGCGGCTCCGTCTAGCACGAACAGCGCTCCGACAGTGGACGCTGATGGCTGGGAGACTGTGACCGGTGGAGCGCGTCCCAAGGGTCTGAAGCACCGCAGTAACTCGGACCGCTTCCCTGCCTCGTCATTGGGTGGACTGCCTCGTCACCCGAGCGGAACTCGACTCAGCAGCAGCAACACGTTCGCGTCTCTGAGCGGCAAGGAACGAAAGGAACGAGGACGCAGCAACAGCTCGTCGTCTACTTCTTCGCGTTCTTCGCGCGGCCGTGAGGACGCTGGTCGCCCGCCTACACCTTCATCAGCCAAGTCAAACAACGGACGCTCTGCTAAACCTGAGAAGACTGCGGAGACTGAGTCTACGGCCCCGTCTCTGACGGCTGAGGCGTTCGAGAAGAAGGTGAAGGCCATTCTGGACGAGTACGTGGAGCTCGAGGACATGGAGGAGGCCTATGCGAGCTTCACGGAGCTCAACGCTGCCAACCACTATGCTCTGATCCCCAACAAGGTGCTGAATATTGGTCTGGAGAAGGGCGACAAGGAACGTGAGGCCATTGCGAGCTTCCTGGCTGGTCTGTACGACCGCAAGGTGGTGACTAGTGCTGCGTTGGAGAGCGCGTTGCAGGACGTGCTGGAGTTCGCCGAGGATATCGAGATTGACATCCCCAAGACGCTCCCGTACTTGAGCGAGATGGTGGCGCCGTCGGTGGTGGCGGGCAGCATCACGATCCCGCAGCTCGTGACCATGACGGAGCATCTGCGATACAACGGAAAGGCCGCCAAGCTCATCGGCTCCACGCTGGCGGCTGTGGTATCGTGTGAGGATGAAACCAAGGTGCAGGATCTGCTGGCCGCGGAAAGCGTCGACTTCATGGCGCTGCTGGCCGAGGCGAACCGCAACGAGGAGGCCGTACAAGCCTTTTACAAGGACTATGCGCTTGGGTTCCTCGTGTAAGACTCTAGTGTCGGGTTCCTGCTGCGCTCGATGATTTATTGGGATGGATATAGGTAGATTTGACATATACGAGCAGGAAATAATTTTTTTTTATCTCGCTGATAAAGTGGAACCGAAGATTCGTTCTTGTTGTCTTCAGGGTGTTTGCCTGCAGACATCTACGTCTTTGTTGGGATATTGATCCGTACAATTAAGTGGAGTGACAATGAGCCATTACGACAATTCTTGTGAGCTTGCATGTGTTGGCAGGTGGTCTTCTGTTTCGTAGGATAGCAATAGCAACAAGCTTGGATGCGTGAAGTTAGCAAGAAAAATATGAAATGGGGTCATGAAAAATTACACGTTGAATCTGCGTTAGCCTTGGTTGCACACAGCGACACAAGCTAAGACGTTTAGAACACGGCGATCAGCACAAAGCACGCATACACCAGCATAGTCGGGTACATGACGAGGTATTTCTGCTCCGTCATGTAGAGCGCCTTCTCAAAGAACCGCGATGCCGTGTGCGTACTCCAGAGTGTGCATACACTAGCCAGTAAAAAGCCAGCGATGCCTAGGTCCTTGATCGACACCACAATGTTGATCGCTGCCAGGCCGATGATCGGTAGCAAACAGTAGCCCAGCACAGAGCACACGCGGTAGATGTCGATGGTTCGCTCAGGTGATAGCAAGTTCATCAGCAAGTACATGAACAGACATGACAGAACTCCGAAGCCGTAAATGTATCCAAAATGAACCTTCGCAGCCTATAACAATAGCAAAAAAAATATAAGTCCGAGCCGTAAAATATAAATATATATTCCGTACCAGCAGCAGACACATGCCAAAGAGAAAGCAGAAGACGAGCGGTCCTGCCAGATCCGCATCGTCCAGAATGTGCTCGTTGATCTGCTTAGTCGGTAGCAGCACAGACACCGTCTTGGCCCAAATATGCTCGAAGTTGATACCCAGCTCTGTCATTTTCAAATAAGAAAAATATTAGCGCGAAGTAAAAACACTTGCAAGGCACTAAGAAATAAATACGCCATCATTCATCACCTTCCAGGAGTGGCGGCTCGTTAGCGAATTCGTCTTCGTCGCCATCGTCATCATAATAGCTAGCGCTGGAGCCCACAGTACCGCTAAGGCCACTGGACGAGCCCGGCGCCGGATGGAAACCTGGGCCGCTATTGCTGCTGTTTGGGTGCGCGGCCTGTGCGTTCATGGGTGGGTATTCGCCCTCGGGAGCCGTGAACCACGGGCTCATGGCGTTCGGATCCATGTTCATGTTCATGCTGGCTGGGTACGTGGACGAATATGAACTGGGTGAAAATGTTTATATTTGCGAATAAAATTTAGAAGCTAATACATGGTGTGGTGTACACCATTAACACACGTCGCAGACCCACATCAACTTGACAATTGCTTACAGGTGTTCACCAAGATGCATCAGGTGTGCGATCATAGTGAACGCGCATGCAGTAAATGCCTTTTGGATTGAAAATTAGGTACAGGACTAGACGTTAGGGATTCCATTCGTTTGTCCGTGCAGAAAACTTGCGGTTGTTTGGAGTACTCTTTCTTACGAGCTATTACTGTTTTACTTAGCTCGCTTACTGCCACGACGACGCCGATACTATCTATTAATGATGTTACTTTATAATTTTGTCTGAAAAGAGCTAGCCAAACATGTTACCCATTTGATGATGGAGGTGAAATGAGCCAGGAAGACGCTACTTCCACACCAAAAGGCGCGTCTTGAGAAGAAAACTCGAGCAAGCCCTCCAATTCTGTGAATTACAATGAAAGCTTTAACTAACGACTTGTTGTCGTCAGTCAGAAAAATGAACTGCTTTAGAGACTTGCCGCCATGCTGAAATATCCTTGCCGGTTGATTCGTATCAAAACACCAGTAATTCAGCGACACGATTTATTTTCCGAAACCGAGACTTGCATGTAGACAAAATAATATAGATGTCTCAGATGGCGACTCACCGCAACAGTAGCCGGCCATTTGCAACCGGGGTTGTATTTCCGGCGATTCTCGGTCTGTGATTGGCCAGAAGCAAGGTATCGACAAGAATTTTGATCGGCACCGTGGCTGAGAAGTGGTGTGTAAGTTTCAACTTGGGTTGTGTGCACCATAGTAAAACAAAGCTTGAGTTGCAACTCAGACTCTATACAAACACCTTGTCAGGGTTGCAAATCAGGTAGACGTGCACTGACTGGAAAATTGAAAAAGCAGATCACTATCCTACCATGACAAGTCGCTATAAGCCCGAGCTCCTCAAGTTCATGTCCTACAAGGACGGCGTCGAGTACAACAGCGATCACGCCTTCACTATGGAGGAGTTGCTTGCTATAACCC